TTATGACGAATTGACACAAGAGAGACAAGATGTTCAAAACATGTTCAAAACATGCTCAAAAAGCATCAAGATAGTGTAGAAACCAGAAAACAACTGTCGCTTTCAGTGTCCTCTGAGATCTCGTGGTCAGAACTATATAGACCGTGTTTAAAACTGTGAAGCGACAGGTCCGTCCCAGGAGCGCGCAGCGGGCTGTTTTTCTTGAGCCAAAAGTAAATTGATACCAAGGGAACTGCGTCAACCCTGCCAAACGTAGCCATGCTGCAACAAATGAATGCGCAGCGGCCATGCTAATCTTCTCAAAAGAAAACTTGTTACACTTCTCGAATTCTAGTGTAGGACGACTTGATCATCCACGCTCCCCCCTGCTGTTGAACAGCAACCGAAAAGTCGGTCCGTAGACGAAAATCCCAAAGGCTACGTCGAGCCCAAAAAGCAACCAAGAGCTACGCGGCTCACATGTCAGCGACTTCGGGTCGGCCGCGTCGTCGGCTGGAATAAACTACCATGGCTGGTCTCCTCCTCAGACCCGACCGCCTCATCATCGTACTGACCTTCATCAGTTCCTCCCTCCAACGTTGCACCATGAAGGAAGTGCCAGAGCATCACATCGGCGACTCATTGGATCCTCCCTTGGACGTCCAGCGTGGAGGCGGAGGCGGAGCCTGTAGTACTCTGAGCGTCGCCTCTCGAACAGATTCTCCCTCGAATGCTCAGCGTGGGCCCATTGTTCCACCGATTCACTGGGGCTGAGCTCCGCTGATACACCTGGGTCCGCGGGGGAAAGACTGTGCACGTCGTGGTGTTCCTTGGTGGCCCCCACAACGCTGATGAGCCCAAAGAACCATCTAGCGATCCAGCTGCTCTTCCAATTCGGGTCCTGAGGCTGAAGAGGACGGTGGGCCATAGTAGCCACCAGATCCTGCCACAAACCAACTACCCACAGAGCTGAAGGTTGCGCTGCTGCTCCACCCCAATGGCATCCACCCGGGCTTTTCTTCCACTTCCGCTTGATCTTCCGATCGGCCTCGGCATATGCCAAGCTCTGTTGTCGTCAGGCTCCCAGAGGCACGCCAGACGAACTTGCACGCTCGTTCCCAAGCATGTGCCCCTGACCACCAGATTCTTCTGGCCTCCAAGTCTTCAATTCTGATCGGACAGCTGCGGTGATTTGGATGGAACAAGCATTCCACGGCGTCGGTCCCAATCCGCCCGCATTGCGCAGATGCGCGGACCAACCAGAATGCCCTCAGGGCTCACATTGGACGGAGCGGGTTGACCGGACTGGGTTCATGCTCCCTTAGACTTGCCGCCGTGGGGAACCCAATGGCCCTTGGCCTGGCCTTTTCGGGATCTCTCTCACCCCGCATCCAAAGAGCGCACTTCAAGGCTAAATGAGCTACCAATGCCGTGATAGCCACCAACCTCGCTATTTTGGCCGTCCCTTGAGGTCGGCTCCCAAGCCAAGCTGCTAAACCTACCAAGCCGCCAACTGCAGCAATAATGGTGCCAGCTAATCCACTCCGATCATCGGCTTCTGGCTTTTGGGCGGCGTTGACCACCATGCCCATGAAGTCGTAAAACTTCTGCCAGGCTGAAGATGAAGTCGCCGGCTTCGTCAGCAGGTCTGACGCCAGCTCGTGCCATGCAGGAAGATGCCGAGCCTTCCAAAGACCCCATTGAAGACGTTCAAGTTCACGGAGAACGTAGCTTCGCAGGCGAAGATGGCGGGTACGCCAAGGCCTGTCAGGAGCTTCTAAAATTAAGCCGTAGGCCAGACATAGACTGTCCCGATGAAGGACTCGAGCACCTCCTTCGCACAGCTGGTTGTTCTCCAAGATTTCCACGATTGATGAAATTCATTCACCACGCAAAAAGGCTGCTGCTTCGAATCCCAGACTGAACTAGGGACCCTCCATCATAGACCGCCACCAAACCTTGATGACCACGCCGGCACTGAGCTCCCATGGCCGCATCGCTGAAAACCTCAAACGTGAGCATGTTGCGCCAAACTACCCCCAGAGCCAAAACCACCTTCACATCGATGACAGGCCAAGCTCATATCGGCTGTTGCACTCAGATACCCCAGGGTGTGACGGCTTAGGGAAAGCACCCTACGAGGACATTTTGTAACATGCCTGCCCGACCATGACGTGGCGAAGCCCAAATCAGGCCTCAATCTGCATGCGGCCCAAAGAAGTTCTCCCACCACAGTGTGAGCTGCACGAACATCAGCGATCTGAATATTTTCCTCAGGCGTCTTATGCAAGGTGCCTGGAAGTGGTGTTGATTTGGGCACCAAGCCCCCACAGCGACTAAGAAGATCTCTGATGTACGATCTCTGAGACTCTGAGACAGAGAAGGATTGCGTTCTCCTTCTTGGCGAACTCATCACCTTCCTTCACCCATTCTGGACTGGAACGCTTCCATGTTCGCTGAACCTCCTCCAGAAACCCATTCATGATGCTGACCTCGCCAACTGCAAGGACGTCATCCACATAGAGGGCCACAAAGCATAGGCTCAATCCAGGTCCTCATAGGACTGCTTCACCGTTGAATTCTCCGTGAGGACAACCTTCCAAAGGTTCGGTTTAGGAGCTTGGACAATAGGCTGATGATAACCAACCCCTTCCAGATTCCATCGAAGCTTGGAGAGCACCGAGTTTCCCCAATCCGACGGCGAGGAAGTGAGCCCATACATCGCATGCTGGATCTGCCATAGCTCATAACCACCACAAATCCCAGCATCGACCAAAACCTTCGGCGGTTTCATCACCAGAAGCTGACGCTCTGACTCCCACCGTGGAGCTAGAAGAGAGGCTGTAGCCACATCCAAGCTGGCTACACTCCAGTTCTCACAGGGTGCCTTTTTGATCAAGCACCGCAGCAATGCTCCACCAGCTCTTCCCGCATGCGTGCTGTAGGGCGATGTGGAAGACTGGGCACCTTCCTTGGTGAGATCTTCACCACCCGAACCAACTCGTTCGAGTCGATTTCCACATACCACCACCCGTGCCTTCTTGCGTCCATTTGGAGCCTTGATAGTTGGAACAAGCATAGCCGGGGCCAGTTCCGTTGTGTGATACAGAGGATTTTTGCGCAGCTCTGCATCCGTTGTTGGGCGGATTGCAGCTGTTCCCGTCAGAGAATTGTACTCTGCATTCAGAGCAGGCACCCAAGCATCCAAATCTCTTTTGACCTGCTGCAACAGCACGTAGGTTTGAAGAACTGGTTGAGGGAGCTCTGCAGGGAGCCCATCGGTTGGAGGCGTCGGCAAAGACAATGATGCCAACCGATGTTGATGAAGACAAAGATGCTGCTCCTCCAAATGGGTTTCTCGGATCAACAGCTCCGTTTCAAGCTCCTCCAAAATCCTGCCCTGCTTCATCCCTTCATCTTCACCAACAGCCACCTTCCGAAGCTCCTCCATCCAGAGAGACTTCAAAGCCCCATGCTCTTCCACCTCGATCTCATGGAACGACTCAGCCTCAGCCCCAGAGCAGCGTTGAAGAGGCTCTGTGTGCTCCCCCGGAACCACCATCTCTCCAGAGGACCCCAACTTCAATGGCTCTCCACAAAAGCCACAGTTGCCACCATGATCATCATCATCGGAGTACTCAATCACCCCGTCAAACTCAGACACTGCAAAGGGTTCCATGACCTCCACATTCTTTGAAGCGTCGGACCCCTCAGAGACCTTCACAAGGCTTCCACAGCGATTTCATCAACCATCTCGTAGTCTCCAGGGCTCCCGTATTGAACCCGTTGCCGGAGACTGCAGTTTGAACATTCCACCATACCACAGTCGGAGCCACTCGATGGAGATGCCGTCGAAGAATGCAAAGAGGATTCCGGACCAAAAACGGGTGATTTTTCTTTTTTGATTCCACCTCCAACATTCTCCCTTAGTCTCCCCACTTTTACCACCAACAGTCTCCCCCCATGCCCGCATCTTGACAGGGGCAGGTCCAGCTAGCTCCGGACGAGGCTGCTCAAACAACAGTGGCATAGCTCCTTGAAGATGCTGCTCCAACCAATCCCCTCCCCTGATTCCCACGACCACCAACAGCATCGATTTGACGAAGCTCCAGTTGTGCTTCATCACCATCAGGATCTGGTAGAATGGCCGTCCGGACGTGCATCACATTGTGCCCGTCCTTGGTGGTCCACCCAGCTGACATGAAGGGTGATGGACCAAGCAACTGCATCGACCTAAAAGGATTGGACAAAGGCTGGCCTGGCGATGCCATTTTTTCACCTTCACCGCCACTTGAGCGCCAAACCCCAGCATTGGCTTCATTCAGACACGGGTTGACGCGTCGGCGCAACTGTTGACTTTGAAGGAGGACGTGAACAAGGAAGTTCATTTGAAATGCGTGCTGAACGCATTGTCCTCGGTGTCGCTTGATGCCGACACGGCTTTGAAAGTGAGTGCATGAGAAGCAGGCAGCCTTTTCGCAGGAAGAGAAGGAAAGGCTTCAAAAGTGATTGACTGAACAAGTCAAAGATGAGGCTGCCGTGAAAAGGAAACCGTATCAGGATTTCACCAAATTGCCTAGCTTTTTGACGGATGAAGTTTGGGATGCTTTGAGTGCTTACCCTTACACTCGGGCGGCAGAAATTCTGATGGAGCATGCTTTTCGACTTGGTTTGAGAAATCCTTCAGAGCCCACGTATGCTTGTTTGACGGCCCTCCTGTGCATTTTCCACCCGGCGAAATCGGGCTTTGGTTTGGCACAGACATATGAGACAAAACGAAGTCTACTTGGCAGAGCTTCAAAAAGAAACGAAAGAACAGGATCCAAGCTGAAGACTTTCACCTTCTGGAGCTGCCGGCTGCAGCTGACTTGCCAGAGGTCTTGAACATTGCCGCGTTTGGTCAGCATCCACGCGTGGAGTCTCGCATTAGGGATACTTCCTTGCAGGAGTTGCAGGATAAGATAGTCATGAGGAAATCGAACATGCTCTCTCCCAAGAATTCAGTTGCTCAGCTTGGAGCCATGGGTGGGGGCATGCTTTCCGAGCCTTTCCATGCTGATCTTCAACCTGCAGGAGGGCCATTTGTGAAGGAGCTCATTAGTGCTTTGGTGCTCTTGGCGCAGCAGCGCTTTGAGAAGCAGGAGGTGCCCATTGAGATTTTGCGTAGATCTCCTTCTGAGGTTTCATCGGTGCCGAGTTTCCAAGGGACAAGCGGCGCAATGCGAATCACTGGTGCCGCTGCTGAGGTACTACTTTGCTGAAGGCAATCTGAAAGAGGAACATTTGCAAACACATCTCAAAAGCTTTGAGGACTTGGCTATGTGTTGCGCGCATTTGCGTGCATTGAGATACCAGTGGTCTGAAATTGCCCATCAAGATGTTGATTCCTTGCTAGCTGTGCAAGAACGTCATCAAAAGAGTTTCCTGGAGTGTTACTCCGCGGAATGCATCAAACCAAAACATCACCAGCGCTTCCATTTGGGACAAAGCTTCTTACAAATGCGAGCAACATGAAAGCAAACATCGGTGCTATAAGCATGGTCTGGCGGAGAGATTGAAATCCACTGTGCGCTCCGGTTTCCAAAAAAGCCTTTTACCTCGCCTGCTTTCTGGTCAAGCGGCTCGTGTGCAAGAACTTGGCGTTCAGCCTGTCCGACTCATTGGTCCGTTCAAAGCTGCATGTCCGGTGCTCTGCAATTTGTTAGGAGATTCAAACATAAAGATCGCACAAGGCGTGCGGTATTACCACTCCAGTGTGTCGAAAACTGACATTTTATACTTTGCAGATGGATCAGCAGCAGTGGTGCAAAATATTTTTACCAACGATGTGGAACACTTCTTCTTACTGCAAAAACTGCACCGAGTGCGCTCCTGCGTTTGGGGAACAGTATGGCAAGCGACGGAAAAGCAGGTTGTGGCTTCGATCTTTGCCCAGCCTTGGTCTCTGCCGCCTTGGTGGCGTTGGCAAGACGACATGGTCACGTGTCTCCTCTGAAAAAAGGTCAAGAAGCTGCGTCGCCGTGGTGGCGGGAATTGTCCGCTGTAGGTGTGGTTTGGCGGTACTTCCGCTGTAGATCTCTAATGTAATCTTAATATTTCAACAAATTCAATTCATATATTTTAAAATTCATGAAAATGTGTGGCGGTGTCACCGCTGTAGGGCCGGTAGTTTGTGGCGGTATGTCCGCTGTAGGCTGTAATTTACTTTCGCATTAAA